ACACACACACACACACACACACACACACACACACACACACACACACACACATACATACATAACACACTTACATACTTACGGACAAATATACACACAAACACACAAACACACACACAAACAAACACACAAACAAACACACACAAACAAACAAACACACACACACACACACAAACATACACACAAACACACACACACACACACACACACACACAAAGAAACACACACAAACACACACACACACACAAAGAAACACACACAAACACACACACACACACAAAGAAACACACACAAACACACACACACACACAATTTCGTGTTCCCCAATATATATACAACATAGATCAATACCAGATGTTCCGCATCTCCTAAGCCGCCTAGTAAGACAAGCTTCCCCTGATCGTGTCCACGAAGGCGGGCCATAGACCACACACACATATACGCACTACCACAACGTGTTATATACTTGTACTTTTGTTGTTAGTGGGAAAATAACTGTACACACTACATACAAGCGAGATTTAGCGCACTCGTTTCATTTCACAACTTTGAAATTCGACGGCGCTTATATGACCTAGTTGTCTTGCAAGTGCCGTAAAATGTTTACTAAAACAGCATATACTGGTACTACGAGCAGTAGAAGTTGATTTCTGAATGATTATTCGCGGTTATTAAGTGTTATTGAATTTCAACAAACAAAAGCGCGAAATGCCGATGCTAAAGGTGTGTTAATTTGACGTGTGACATAGATCTAATAGTTCCGTCAATTCGAAGTAGGGAATCAATCGTGTCTATTCAGAGAACGATGTGAACGTGACGAAGAGATCCGAGATTTTATCACCGTGCTTCTGATGGTCACAGTATCTATGTATGTTGTCATTTTGAACTGATCTGAACTCGAATTTTAAACAAATATATAGATCTAGATCTATAACTTATAAGCCTATATATTATATAGAGATCTATATATATAGGGGCCTACAAGTATTGTTTTCTTTATTGTTTCCTTGAACAAGAGCACCTCGAGCACAACCAACCTCTCCGTATTGAATAAGTGTTCGGAGTGATACTCACCGACCTATAACTTGTATAGAGGTCTAACCCTGATTGCACTCTCATTAGATCTACCCAATGGCAGTGTCTAAACACGATAACCGACAACTCAGGGTCTTTCCACCACCACTACAGACTACAGCATCATCATTACTTCCACCACCACTACATAACAGCATCATCGTTACTTCCACCACCACTACAGCATCATCATTACTTCCACTACCACTACAGTACAGCATCATCATTACTATTACTTCCACCACCACTACACTAGACTACAGCATCATCATTACTTCCACCACCACTACAGCATCATCATTACTTCCATTGTCTTTCCACATGTTTAATTTGATTTTGTTGAGTGTTGAGTTTTTCTGTAATTTTTTTTAAAAATCACATCGCACAAAACCGACTGCC